CTTTCCCTTGCATGAAATCCATGACTCAAAGTTTTTCTTATTCTTCTCCAGGTCTCGATGACCTTCGTGATTGGACAAACAATGTCCAGCCATCTATTCCCATTTACGTGCCCCGGCGTGATTTTGAGGTCCAAAAATTGATTTTTCTTGCATCAAGTTTGGCTTCGTATCGTATTCATTGGTCAAGTTCATAGCTAAGCTAATATGTAAAATCATTTCAACTCTGTCCGTTCGCATAACTTATTGTGCATAGTTTTTGCTATAATTGGCTAATTGCAGGTGATGAAGAAGACTCATTACTATTTAGTTGATACAAGCGTTGTCACACCTGGTGCTGCTGTTTCAGCGTTGCAATTCAATATCATACATGAAGAGCCGTTCACTGTTCATGGATTAGAGGTCAGACTTAACAACCTCTAGCTGTACTGACCTTTCTGAAATTCACTGCTCTGATCACAACTAAGTCAATGCATAATATAATATCCTTGACATCAATACCAACTTCTTGTTTTTTTTTTATTTTAACGTTGTGTTTCAGATTACCCCTTTACCCGTGTGGCATGGTCCTGGTTACCGCTCCCTAGGATTTCGTTTCGGTGATATTTGTTACATTAGGTGATGCTTACTTTGTGTCACACAAATCCTTGAAAAACAAAAAATTGCTATGCTTGTTCTTGGAGTTGTTTGTTTGTTTGTTTCCTTTTTTTTTTTTTTTAATATTTATTCACTTATGCAGTGATGTCAGTGACATACCTGAAGAAACTTATCCGCTCCTCAAGAATTGTGAAATTCTGATTCTGGTGCCTCCCTAACCATCCATCCCTTTCCCTCTAATTTTTGCTTCTGAAATTACTCGAGTTCAACATGCATAATAAGTTCTTTCCTAGCCGGGCTAACATAAACAACAATAACTTCTTCAGGATGCTTTAAGGCCAGATAGATCATCTGCAACACATTTTGGACTTCCAAGAGTACTAAAACTGTTCTACTCACTACAGTAATTTTACTCCTATTGTAGAACTTCCGTAAAAGATCTAATTGTCATTTGATCTCTTCTCAGGCTCTCGAGGAAGTACGGAAAATCAAACCAAAAAAAACCTTCTTCACCGGTATGTTTCATCCTTTTAGCATTTTCTTGTAGTCCGTGGTGTCCTTTTTCTGGAAAATTCTTCCCTTCCGGTAGGACATAGATTTTTAACCATAAGATGAAATCCAGGTACCGTTTTTTAACTATAAGATCAAATCAGATTTAAATCATATTAAATGAAGTATAACAATTTAACATTACCTTATGAAGATCTAATGGTTAAAACTGTCTTACCGATAGTGTAGTAAAACACTTTCATAGTCTTATTGAAGAATTCACTTATTATTTATTCAGAAGGGAATTTGTTTGTTGTTTGCTTTTCTAGTTTCTGCTTTGAATTCTATGGTAAGGAACCAAGGGCTTTGAATTTTTGCATAATTTTAGAATCAAACCGAATTATAGTTCTATTACAGCATTAATAAATGTAAAGTGGTAATTAACTCATTGCTTTTGTTTTTTTTTTTTTTTCTTTCCCTTGGTTTTGTACTTGTGAAGGTATGATGCATCTAATGGATCATGAGAAAGTGAATAACTATCTCATGAAACTGATGGAGAGTGAGGGTCTTGATGTACAACTGAGCTATGATGGGCTTCGTGTGCCAGTGACTCTCTAGGCTTTTGACAATTATATATTTATTTATTTTTTATTGATAAAGGCTCAAGATTATTATTTTGAAAGTTCAACTGTCAAGTGATCTTTCATGAGCTATGAAGGTCCGCATTGGACTCAAATTTTTGCACATTTTGGGAGTGCACATTTTTAGTTGGCGATCTGTTGTTGCAATAAAACTTCTTTTATTTGTTTTCATTAAATTTTAGTGGGAAAGAGGTCAACTTTGACCATTGGCATGTCAATTGATTTCTAAGTTTAGGCGCGTTCGTTTTGCTGATTTGAGTTTTTAATTTGAACTGAGATGTGATATATTTTTTTTAAAAAACTTTTAACTGTAAAAACTTATAACTGAAAACTCGAATCGATGAAAAGAACGAGATTTTAATTTTACGTGATTGAAATTAACTGTAGGCAACTATCTTTTTTCTCAGCTCCCAAAAGTTGAAGAGAATTCTTAAGAATTATTTGTTGGCTGATATAATTCTTTAATTTATATAATTTCAATATGATTTGACTGCTAACCGTTCGGGTATTTTTTTTTTTTGTTTTTTTAAACCATGGAAACCATTGATTTGGGGTCAAATTGAAAGGATACGCTAACCATTGTTGAAGTGAATTGTGAGCAGGGAGTGCAGGTGTTGTATAGCCTACGCAAACTTTCTACACATTGGGATTTGTATCACCTGATTCTTTGAAATTTGAGAAAATTCCTGAAAACGAAAATGCATTTGTGGCTTTCAAGAGATGAGCAAGTACAGAGGGCATTGTCATACTCAAAAGTGGGATTCGGTAGCATGGGCAAGAAGTAAAAAGTAATGAAGTTATTAGACCGTTCATTCTGCGAGTTTGAATCACAATTTAATTTTTTTCTCTCTCGATACAAATATTAATACAATATGATCATACAATAATCTTAAAATTCAAGCATGAAATTTGGTGTTGAAATTAAAAAAAAAAAAAAAGGAAAAAAAAGGAAACACTACAAAATCCAATCATAGCATTTGTTTGATCTTTATTTACAGTTAGTTATCTGACTCATCATATGACCACCAACCACTACTATATATATGCACACAATTATACATCACAAAATAATGTGAAGCCTATGTATGTGGTTGTTTGCTCAGTTGAACATTGATATTTTTTTATTTTTTTTTCCAAGAGAAGACTTGAGGTTGTGGGCCAAAGGGGCCAAGTCATTGTCTGGCTGGGCCCACACGATGAACCCCTTGTGAGCATGGAAAGGAAAGTAAAAGTGGGCCCATCCAAAATTGAAAGCTGTCTGTGTCAAAAAGGGAATTTTGCTTCCCCCTCCTCTGTTGATCAGACTGTGGACTTCTCCTCCTTGTCGCTGTCAATTCTGAAATACTTCTCACCACCACCACCACGGCACTTTTGCATGGGTTTCTCCAGTCACCTCCAATGGACTCCAGCCACGTGTTGCCTGTCGGGGGCAAGGACGGGCCCGACTCGTCCCTATCGTGGGTTGGTGAAAGCGGACGACGGTGAAAGGCGGTAAGAATAGAATAATTTGGGGAAGTTGTTTGGTGCTCCTAAGGTCCATGATTCTCCGTGAACTCGCATAATCTTTTGTTGCCACAGGCGGAAAACAATTTTTTAGTGTGGACACTAATCAGAGATATAATTCTACATTTCAATTACAAAGTACAAAATATTTATAATTTCTCATAAATTTAAGGCACAACTAAAAGTTTACAAAAATGTTAAAAGGTAAAACCAAGTTTGCATAATGTGTTATGTGTTGAATGGGGTCACATACCCTACTCAATACTATTAACTTTGGCTTTGCTTGTACTCGGTGCTATATATGGTAAAAAAAAAAAAAAATGCATATATTAATAAAAGTTTTGCACTTCTCAAATTTTGATAATTCTGTGGTAAGATACAAAAAGAAACTCCATTATTCGTTAAATTATCATGTTAATATTAAGGTTGATAGTTTATGTCTTCCGCCATGGTTAAAAAAATAATGGACAGTTTTTATTTTTTTTTTTACATGCTCTATAGACGACGTCAGATATCTATTGATATGTTATAGAAGTGTGGTTTTAAAGATATCTATTGATATTTTATAGAAATGTAGCTTTAATAATTACTTTAATATTTATTTATCAATTGATATTGTTGTTCTAGTCATAAGATATTAATTAAATAGTTGTAATAAATTAAATAGTTAATTAAAAATTATGATGACAATTAATGAAATTAGATTCTTATCATATTATATTATTAAATTTATATATTTGAAAATGACCATCGATATAAACGTAAATACGTAATCATTGAAAAGCTTCTCCCGTTAGGATTAGAAAAAATATATTATCAATAATTTTCTATTTTTAACTATTAAATTTATATTAAAAATTATTTATTATACGTATTTTTATAATTTAATGTAATTTCAATATGAATTAATAATTAAAAACTAACCGATAAATCATGTCTATTAAAAAAACTCTCGTACGTATATTACTGGAAGCATGTGATTTCTCAATTATTTTATGTGGGACCTAATACTTTTTTCACATACCTTCTCGTGACCTCTTGGTGACAGTGCATGGACGGAGTGCGCACGGAACTATTATCATTATTAGTACTATCACTCTCTCTCTCCGGGTCATATTTTTTTGTTGATTTAACTTTTATTACAGTAAAAAAAATTTTAAAAATAGTTACATTTAATTTTTTTATTACAATAAAAAGTTCTCACATAACATCACATCTCAACTCGAATTAAAAACTTAAATTAACGAACTAGGATTTGAGTTTTACTACAGTAAAAAGTTCTCAGAAATAGTCACATTTAACTTTTTTACTACAGTAAAAAGCTCTCACACAACATGACATCTCAACTCGAATTAAAACTCGAATTAGCGAACCGAACGGGCCTGGTCTCTTCTTTTTTCTTTTTTCTTTTGGTTTCACCAATTCATGATGATACGGGAAAATTAGAAATATTAGGACAGAAGTGTTTTTTTTTTTTTTTTTGGCTAAGTGCAAGTGCAACCCGATTATGAGCAGAGCACACCATATGGTATATATTATGAGTATAGTAATTCGAGTTTAAAATTCAAATTTTGTTACAGTAAAAATTTTTTATAAATAGTCACATTTAATTTTTTTATTACAGTAAAAATCTCTCACATAAAATCACATTTTAATTCGAATCAACGAACTAAACAGACCTTGATTTATATGAGTCTGTCTGTATGATCATGTTTGAAAATAAGAGAGATAGACAACATACATTCCCCCTGCAAAATTATATTGCAAGTTATCATATTATACCACTTACTTGGATGGTATAGTAACCGAACGACATGATTGAACTATAGGGATTATTTAAATTAGTTACTTTGAAGAATTATACAGTGAAGGTCAAAATTTTGTAGTTATTCGTCAACTCATCGATGTATCATTTGAGTTTAATATTTAAAAAATTTGCGTGTTAAAAATATAGTTTGGCACATATTAACTGCTACTTGATCTAAATAATGTACAGGTTGGTGCACTAAAAGACTTTTACCAACTAATTGATTCAATGAATACTAATTAGGTACTTTGTGGCAATTTTTTTTTCCATGCAAAACTTTTATAATATATAATTACTCTTGGTTTTTTGCAAAAAAAAAAAAAAATCTTTAACAAATTAATGACATTTTTTGATAGTATCAGAAAAACAGTACTTATTACTGTACTGTCCTATATATGTAATGAAAACAAGATAAAAAAGAAGGTTTACATTCAAAAAAGACAAAAAAAAAAAAAATAACATCAATCAACACAGAAGCATGACGAATCATTTGAAATGTTGTCATTCTTACCACATCAGATTATGATTTCAGAAAGACCAGACCCCCTTGAAGTTGTGGAAAAAATCCGTTTAGTTAGAAGATTCGTTATCTAATTTAAATTATAATTTATAATTTATTATAATATTTTTTCTCATAAAAAATATATAAATTAAAAATAATTTTAATTTATGAATTAAACGGGCTCTAAAAAGAAGTGTGATCATTTTAAACGACAAGACAAGATGCAAACAAGACAAACCCATTCCTACAGAACTTGGCCTTATATTTATGTAGAGTTAGAGAGACAAAAGAAAATTGGATTATTTTTATAATTGCCCTGATCTATGTATTCTATTTTAAAATGTTCCTTAATTTATTAAAATAGTCACTACAACAAATTCTATATTATATGACGTTTTAAGAAAAATTGTCAGTCTAATGTGGTGAAAAAATACGGAACGAAGATTTCTGTGTTTCAAAAATCTCATATTAGATGACGATTTTTAAAAAACCGTCATTAAATGTTAGACATTAGACAATAGTTTTTAAAAAACCATCATCTAATATATACGAAAGAATAAAATTACGAAAATTAAAGCATAAGACGACGGTTTTTAAAAAACTGTCATCTAATCTCCAACATTTAACAACTATTTTTTAAAAACAATCATTAAATGTCAAAAAAATATTTAAAAAAAAGGTGGACTTTTCCCGCTCATCATTTTTTTTTTCAAATTTCAAAATTTTTTCTTTTCCATTTATAATATCGAGCACTCACTTCTAAAACCGTCGTCTAATCTCCAACATTTAACGACTATTTTTGAAAAAAAGTCATTAAATGTCAAAAAAATTTAAAAAAAGGGCGGACTTTTCCCACTCATCATTTTTTTTTTAAATTTTGAAACTTTTATTTTCTATTTATAATATCGAGCATTCTCTTTCACTTTTCTCTAACTCTCATTTTCAAACACCCGTTCGGTTCGCTAATTCGAGTTGAGATGTGATGTTGTGTGAGAGCTTTTTACTGTAGCAAAAAGTTAGATGTGACTGTTTCTGATAGCTTTTTACTATAGCAAAACTCGAATTCTAAACTCGAATCAGCGAAATGAACGGGGCCATTTTTCTCAAATCCGCATCTCACTTTTTCATTCTCTCTCTAATTTCTTCCTATCCCAAACCTTAATGTTCTCTCTCAAATCCCAATGACCATGCATCGTCATTGCCGCCCCTCTCCAAGTTCGCCATCATCGCCGCCTCTCTCCAAGTTCATTGTCGTCACTCCATTGCTAAAATTTGGTTTTTCTTTTGCATTCAAATTTTTCATTTGCTTTTTTCTTTGTATTTAATTATTTTTTGTTGGTTAGATTTGCGTTA